GTGTGTGTGTGTGTGTGTGTGTGTGTGTGTGTGTGTGTGTGTGTGTGCGTGCGCACCTAGCTGTATAAAGTGTTTACTAATCCAACCTGAACTAGGCTTAAGATTATAGTTCTTTAGTTTCCTTCGAGTACTTTTGGTTAAGTTTACTGCATTTGTTGATTGAACTTAAAATCTAACATCTTTTGCATTTCAGCAGCATCCTTCTGATGCCGACCCTCTCCGACTTGTGCGAGTAACTCCCCAGCCACGCTGCAACCGTAGTTTAGACAAGTTGGGCACTAATTGCTGTTCACTGAAGCTGTCAGTGGAGACACCTCCATTTTATTAAACGAGGACGACTTTGGCACTGAAGATAAACGATCTCTTCAGGGAGAGATCTCTCATGCTCCGGCTGATTATGTGTGTGTTTGTGTGAAGGGGTGGGGTGTCGCACAGCGGTTCGTCACGCCCCAAGCCCTCCGCGTGCGGGCTTATTTTTCTTTGCCCCCCCACCCGCCTCAGAGTGCCAGTGCCGGCAGACAGCAGAGCTACTGCCTAATACCTTTTAAATGGTTTTAATTTTCTGTCTTTATTGATTTCATGGGGCATGATTAATCAGATCAGTGGAGCAGGCAGTTAGTACATTAAAAATTGTCAGCCCCACGTCAGGGATGATTGGGCGCTGAAGTGTGCGCACGAGGGATTGAAGGTGGCAGAGCTGAACGTTTTTATGGTTTTTGAAGTTTCATGTTTTTATGGACACTAAAATGTAGCTTAGGATAGTTTCAGTGTTTTGCTTCACATTGAGTTGTGAGAATCCACCTGAAACGAGTCGGAAAAGATCTTTGACTTGATTTAAAATGTAAAAACAAAGTGAAGCCCATTTATTTTATCTTGAATATTCTTTTTTTTATTATTATTTAAAGGCTAGAGTCTGGTTTGAAAACGTCTTGAAAAGAAAATATGACTAACAGAAATTTTCAATCATTTTTTTTTCTTGCACATTAAAACTGTAAACTTGTATTTTAAGCAAAGATCTAAGTAGCTTTCTGAAGTGTTAATAAGACACGAATACAGTTTTGTTTTCTCTTCACAGGCTTTGGGAAGCATGTACTTCATCCACAAGACACTGAAAGACATCTATCAATATGACTTTAATGGTAAAAAGTTGTTTTTCTTTTGACTGTACAGATCATTTTTAGGAGGGTTTTTGCAATAGATTAGAAAAACACACCGTTGTGTTAACAGTGTTATTTAATATTAAATCAACCATCTCATTGGAGAACGTTTTCCTCACGCTCTCATTCTGTTCTGTCACGATTTAAAACTTTCTGTGCTCTTTACAGTCACTATCATCTAAAGCGGTCGTGAGCATCAAGCTGCCTTTTACGATACTAATATGGCACTATAAAGTTTTAATATGTTGCGCAACCCTAACATTTATTGGGCCATAACATAACAATTTGTAGTTATCTTTTCACTTCCGAAGCAAATTCAGTTCAACCTTTACTGGTTGAATAAAATGGTTTTATAACTCATTGCAAGTTAGCTAGAAAGTGCAGCACCTCACTGCAGTGACATGTTTTCCATCTTGAAAGCAGCAAAAAGAAGTCTGTATTTGACTGGAAAACTTTTTTTAATATATATTTTTATTGCTGCAAGGAATTTTAAGATGTTTCTGTGTGTAATGACAGTTTGATGGCTACATTGTGCAGCCAGGTATTTGGAAAGAACTCAGATTTAAAGTGGAGCTGTTCTATTGCTGCTACACAGTCCGCTCACGTTAGATGTGAAAAAGCTCCACAGAAAAGCTTATGGAAGAACCATAAACATCCCGGAGCTGCCACTTGCTCTGTGGCCCAAACCAATTGTCGTTCACCAAACGAAGTCTAATGGCCCTCTTATAGATTCTCTCATCACGTATGCTGCTCTGATGAGGTTAACACCAGTTTATTGATTGCTGTTTGCATGTTTTCTCACTCTTTTCCATGTCACCGGCCTCACTCTGCCTCGCCCTCTCGCAGTCAAAGAGTTCAAAGTGGTGGTGGGGCAGAACAAGTACGTGGGCTCTCTGGACAGGGTCGCCACCGTGGAGAAAGAAAAATTCCCAAAGAATTTCTGGCCTGATGTAAGTGTGTATGCACGAGCGCGTGGAGAGGTACGGGATGGGGTGCTCACGGGCCAAAGTGAGACGTTGGGACAAATGAGTCTACTGGGGCTGCCGGGGCTGTCTGCCTGCTCCAACAGGGAGATGAGACAAATTATCTGCAAGGATCAATAATTATCCGTTTGGCTCTTTAAAGACACGGCGCTCTCATTTGTCTCTGTTGCAGTTCAAGTGGTCTAGAAAGGGCTTCATGAGGACCCGCTGGATCATACACAACCAGTACGTAACGCAACACATCACCTTGGTGCACCTTCAACACAGCAGCACTGCTTTTAGTTCTTTTCACTCTTCTTATAAGATTTGTTGTTGTTGTTGTTGTTGTTGTTGTTGTTGTTGTTGTTGTTGTTGTTGTTGTTGTTGTTGTTTTAAATTCTCTGCTGCCAGGTCAGCACTAATGACTTTAACATGTTGCTCAGAAGGTGGTTATGACCAAAAATAATTCTCAGACTTTCTTTTTAATGTGTGCTGTCACATCCCAACTTTCTTAGATTGGGATTGTATAATCATTCCACTCTGGAAAAATAACAATTTAAATATATTATTAAATCGTCTAATTTGACATTAGTTGTCATGATGAGTTTACGTAAACTTCTGACCACAGCTGCACTTTACACAATCCTTATTTTTTAAATTAAACTATAATTTTAGTGGGTTTTAGTTAATTTCCTGAACTGAGCCAAAGGCCAACGTTTATTTAAGTAATAAACTTTTTTTTTTTTTCATCAAGCAGCTGTGGAAGAAATTTGCCAAAATAAAACTGTCCAGTTATCAATGGATCAGACGTTTATCAAGGTTCAATGTTCCTTGTCGTTCACATCACATGTGGTACATGAGGTGGAACAAAATTGCCCACTTATCTGCTCTGCATGGGGAACAGCTGATCAGCTGCAGCAGGAAGTTTATCCTGCAGTTCTGGGCTGCACACAGGTGCAGGAGGAAGCTTTTTCTGCAGCCCTGGGCTGCACACATGTGCAGCAGGTGCTAAATAATTTGAAATAATTTATTTAAAATAAAAATTCCATGCCGATCGTGCGGCTCATCCAACAATCAGCCAGTTGTGTGTCGTGTCCAATCTTATTTTGAAAAACCGTGATGGAGCGAGTCTGCGATAACCGAGCCGTGAAATAGTGAGGGACTCCTGTACACACTAAACACAAATAATGTACAATAACACGGTGTATTAAACAGCATCCTGGTGGTGTTCACAGTACACACACCATGGTTGGCACTGACACTAAATAAATCAAGTACTAAATCCAACACCTCCTTTAAATAGTTTGTTGCAGCACATTCAGAAACAATCACTGCTGCAGTAATCACCTGGAGTCTGACCGTTCTGCACCTTTTTTCTTCTGGGTTCAGAGATGTCAACTTTTGATACTTTTTAGCGTTCTGATAAATATAAACATTTAAACAGTAGGTTATTGATATCGGTTATTCATAGAACTGGCGACCTGTTCAGGGTGTCCCCACTCTCGCTCACTGACAGCTGGAGGTTGACCCCAGCTGTTTGTGACCCTCCACAAAAAAAGGCAGGTAATAGAAAGTCAGTAGATGCAAACATGTAGGCATTGTGTTGTAGACCCAGTGAGGATTGTTACAACACTCAGGATTCAGTTTAAGCTCTTAAAATAAAAGCCATTTTGGTTCATATATTGATGAATATAAACACACACGCCAAACAGGATCAGTCACACAGTTTGCCTCATTAAGCTTTTGTTGCTCACTGTTTGCTCATTGAGGTGTGATAACAAAAGAAAGCTGCAGTTCCATATTCTGTAGATTAAACATGCCTCATTAATCAGATACTCTGTGTTCGAGTGTACCCAAAGACAAGAAAACTGTAAAGTGACCCCTGTGTTAATAGACACACAAGCACACAGTCACGTTCACACACATCTTCCTTCAGCTGTCGCACGTTTTCATATTTTGTGTGTCGTTCAGAGGTTTAGACCTGGTCAACGTCCACCTGTTCCACGATGCCTCCAACCTCGTTGCCTGCAATTCCAGTCCTTCCGTTTATTCAGCCAACCGTAAAAACGCCCTCAGATATGTGGTCAACAGGTGAGAGCAACCATGGCTGTCCAAAACTGACCGGCTGACTTCAACTGGAGTATATTTTATGTTTTCATTTATCAACTCCTGCATGTATTAGTCTGTCTGAATCCTGGCTTCATGTCTTTTAATCCACTTTGATCTCTTTAAAATACAAACTTGAACTAAACTTGAACCAAATAAAATGCCTGACAGGTGTACTTTCCCTTCAGGATATCAGATAACCGCTACACAGCGATGCCTTTTTTCCTGTTTGGAGACTTCAACTTCCGTCTTGATACTCTAAGTCTGGTTCAGGTATGTTACAACACTCACTTCCCCCAAAGCTGAAGTTTTATTTAGGTGTTTTGGCTTGACGTACTGTTCTTGCCACCAGCATCTGTCCACTGAAGCAGATGTGCAGACAGTAAAGAAGGACAGCACTAATGAAGTGGAGAAAATCATATGTGAAGAAAAAAACAATGACCACCAGGTAACGTTTAAACAGCCAAAACCTTTGAAGAGATCATGTGATCATGCTGGTGTAGCCCTGCTTACGTCACTCCCCTCCACCTCCTCTTCAGGTGCTGCTTCATATTGAGGAGAAGCTGTTTTCCTACCTGCACCAGGCACTTTTCAGAAAGGACAACGGCCAAGCAGTAAGAACACAATCTCAACCTTATTCTCTGAGCAAACAAGAAACTCTGGTTACTTCGCACCAATTTATCATGCTGACCGTAGTTCGAAATTAGATCCTGTCAGTATTTTGAATGACAGTGCAGCAAAAACAACTACAGGTGAACGAACCGTGTATGGGACGATGAACTGAGATTTCACTTCTGAACTTTCAAGTGTTGACATTTACAGTTTCTGTCCATCAGCTTTGGAAGTATGATAAAGAAGTGGCAACCTTTCACGACGTTATTAAAGAAGAGGAGATCAGGTTTCCACCCAGGTAAGACCGAGCGCGTGTTTAAAAACATCAAGCTCTCCCACTCTGCTTCTTTATTTACATATTCTGTCCTTGTGCTCAGCTATCCCTACAGTGAGGACTACACTCAACCAACGCAGTACATGAACACTCGCTGTCCCGCCTGGTGTGATCGTATCCTCATGTCACACGCTGCCCATGACTGCATCCACAGGGTCAGTTGGAAATAATCTGTTTTTTAAATGTTTTTATCTTTGGCAACATGCATGTGCTATAAAGCTCTAGTCTTTCACCCCAAAGTTGCAGCATGTTAGTTGTTCTAAATTATGTTTATTGTCTTATTCAGAGCAAGGATGCTGATGAGAAGTGTGTTGTTTACAACACAATGGGTCCTAATGTCTGTATGGGAGACCACAAGGTAAGAGTTTCAAAAGCGTCCATATTGTTCAGGAAATAAGTCGCACAAGTGGAGAGATGCTTTCCTGTTTTTTTTTTTTTTTTGTTCTTCCCCATAGCCTGTTTTCCTGTTTTTCTCCCTGAAGACGGACAACCACTGACTGGGATCCTTCTCAACGGTAAGACTATGTGTTAGTGCGTTTGTGTAACGCTCTGGAAGTGCAGCGCTTCCAGTGAGTACATTTAGAGAGTGATCGTAGTAATCCTGCTCCCAGGAGGGCCATAACCACACCGGCCCTGTGGAGTCAGAGTGCGAACAAAGATGAAGTACCTGCGGGACCCGAGCACTCCTTTGTGTCCAGTGTAGTTGGAGCACAGGCGATCAGCACCTTCCTCTGATCTATGGCTATTGAATCCTCTCCGCCGCCGCTGTAGCTGCACGTGAAGTGCATCGCAGGAGCTCTTTTCATTAATTACCATCTGGACAGTCGGCTGGAGAGGCATTTATCGGCAGCATATTGGCATTTTTACGGCCACGGTTTTGTTTTGCTGCCGTTTAAATTTATTTATTTAAGAATGGGCAGCTTTCTCATAATTCTTCTTTAGCAGACTTTGAAATAATGCGAGCCACACGGTGAAAGATGCTACAACCATCTCTTGTTTCTTCTTGTGTTTTACATTTTGAGACAAAGAACAATACCAACATCAAATTACTAATCTCAGGCCCCCTATATTTAATGCATTTGCACCCACTGTGTGTTGACAAACTGTGCTGTCGTTTACATGACATCACTCACAAGCTGCACGTGATGTTAAAGTGTGTGATTTTGTTCTGCTCCAGGTTCAAAACCCGCCGTGGATAATCAGCCCAAGCATCAGCCAGCATCCTCAGAGCTGTGAGCTCCCTGCACAAGCATCACTGGTCTTAGACCTCACTGCTGCACACTGTCCACCTCAGCTCCAACAGATTTATGTTAAACATAAATCATAACAGATAAAGTGCACATATTTATCCACACCTACGCCCACTCTCTGAGCTTTACTGGTTCAAAGGTCTCAGCTTTGTGCCCACAGCTGAAATGAAACTGAAATGATCCAGGTCCCTGCTGGCCCTAAATGTTTTATTAAAACCCTCCAGTCAGGAAACACTGACTGGGCAAGTGGTAAGTATGGACATTATAAAATTGTTGGAGGGTGTTGTCAACCCTCACACTTTTGCCTCAACACGTTAGAATAATTATGGACTGTAACACATGTAAATTAATTTTCTAGATAAAATGTGTTTAGTATGACGTGCTGAATGTCAGTCCTAATATCTGTATTTGAATGCTCTTGTTTAGTGTCACACTCCTGTTAGTTGTTCTTTTTTTACTGTCAGTGCTGTGTTTTTGTTGCTCCCCCGGTTTCCTGTTTTTCTTCAAAGACGCCGTTTTGACCCAGTCACATATTTCTGAAGTTCTGATAAAACCAGTTTTGGAATCCAGTTTTCTTTTAGCTGCTGCACCAGCTGTAAACAAAGATGAACTGATCCATTGAGGGGAAACAGAACGTATTTCTCTGCTGATCTTAGTGATATTCGTTTTATGTACTCACCGTACATAAAACCAAGTGCTTTATTAACAAGCCACTGCTCCACAGATTCTCATTGTCCTTTTTTAGTCGTCCTCAGAGAAAACGTTCAGAAGTTTCTCTCCACCTCTGCTCTGGTTCACATCAGTCTTACGTCATTGCCAAAAGAGTTTCACTGTCAGCCTCTTTATAAAAAACAAAAATGTGGCTCCCTGGACTTGTTTAGAACTAAATCTAGTTTATGTGCAGTATACAGACACACAACACAAAAGGCACTGTTTGTTCGGGATAATTTTCTTACTGACTTTAATTTTTTGTTATACTGTATCTCAAATACAGTCATGTTGTTGTTATGTGTTTGTTGCTTTGAGCTAGCTTTAATAAGAAGAATTGTTTAAGTAAAATATGTGTGCTCCTTGTTGTAAAAAGCTTCTTAGGAGTGCGATGTACTGAGACCCCTCTCTGTATTTGTACAGGAAATGCAAACACAAGCTCACAAATATCCATAGAAAGTTTAGTTAATGCCAGGCTGTACTTTTATATAAACAACAAAGAATGATATAAACTCAAGTGTTGACTGAAACATTTATTTGAACAGCAGAGTTGGTTGTAAGGCCAGTATTACCTTTAGAATAATGAAACACTACATTTTATTTTTTGCTTTACTTTTGTAAATAAAGTGTTGCCCTCAGCAATATGTTGCAGCGTTATTTATCAAATGTTTTTATTGCGTCAATTAAAAAGAATCATTTTGAAAAATAAAAACCTGAAATCATAAAGAAAATCTAATTTATCTACATTTATCAATTAACTTATTTGCTCTAATTTTCTATTATATAATTTTTTTGGTCCCACTTTACAATAAGGCTCCCCTTATAGATGGCTAATAAATAGTTTATAGATACATTATTAATTCCTCTATAAACGCTTTATAAACGTTAATAATTGTTTATTATGCATTAATTAATGGTGACAGAGACAAAACAGACCAGTTTGTTGCCAAATAGTGATCCAAATCTGTTCACCTACTTCATCTAGAGTTGTTATATTAAACATTTCACACTAAGTTACTACCTTGTAAGCACAATAAGCATTTGTAAACCTTTTTTTTTTTTTTTTGCATATAATATCAGTTGTAGATACTTAAAATGCAGTGATAAAGTACAATATTATATCCTAAAAAATTATGTTTACAAATGCTTACTTACAAGGTAGTAAGTTAGTGTGAAATGTTGAATATAACAACTCTAGATGAAATATATAGGTGAACAGATTTGGATCACTATTTGGCAACAAACTGCTCAGTTTTGTCTCTGTCACCTTTAATTAATGCATAATAAACAATTATTAATGATTTACAAAGTGTTTATAGAGGAATTAATAATGTATCTACTAGCCATCTACAAGAGCAGCCTTATTGTAAAGTGGTACCGATTTTTCTGTGTAAATTACTTATTTTAATAACTGTATTGTTTTCCCCTCTTTTGTTTCAAACCAGTTTGTAGTTTTAAAAATGTCCCTCTGGTTTTTGCTCTGAGCCAATCAGGCTTCAGCGTGAATCTTCTGCTTCCTCTTTTAGATGTGCACCTCTTTTTTCTCTTGGGTCCATAAAACATACTCGCGTATAGACTACATATTTCTTGATAAGAGAATTGTGCATCGAATAACCATGTGTGATTATGGAAGTATAGTCATCTCAGATCATGGACCACTGTCTATGAAGTTGCTTATCCCTAACATACATCCTGTATATCGTCAGTGGCGCCTTAACAACATTCTGCTAGCAGAATAGGAATATGTGAAATATATTTAATCTGAAATCAGCTTTTTTTTTTAAAGTTACTGAAACTCCAGGAATGTCACTTCTCACCATTTGGGATGCTTTAAAAGCTTATTTGTGAGGCATAACAGTTTCATATTGTGCCAGAAAAAATAAGAGAAATATCCAACGTCTTAAACAATTAACTGAAGAAATATTAAAAGTGGATGAGTTATATAGTAGTTCACTGTCAGCAGACCTTTCCAAAAAACGTATATCATTAAAAACTGAATTCGATATTCTTTCAACACAACAAGCTGAATATCTTATATCCAAGACGAGAACTAACTATTCTGAAAAAGGGGAGAAGACAGGTCGTTTGCTTGCACATCAACTACACCAAAGGTCAATACAACAAACAATCTTGGTTATAAAAGATGAGAGGGGGATACTTCATGCTGATAATGCAGAAATTAACTCCTGCTTTAGAGACTTTTACAAATACAACTTTTACTCATACAACTCGGACACGCGCCCAATGGCACCGATGAGCTGGAAGATTTTTTCAGGTCTCTGGACCCCCCCCCCCCCCCCCGAGTGCCGACCATTTTAATGACCTTGAGAAAGATCTGACAACTACAGAAATAACTTTAGCAATCAGAAGTATGCAAAGTGAGAAGGCACCTGGCCCGGACGGTTTTTCAGCTGATTTTTATAAAAAAATTTCTGATCAGCTTTCCCCCTTTCTATCTTCAGTGTTTGGAGAGTCTTACACATCAAAGGTCCTGCCATTGTCTGCGCGCCAAGCAGTTATGTCTTTATTGGTCAAGAAAGATAAAGATCCGCTCGGTTGTAGTTCATATTGCCATATCTCTCTATTGAACACTGATACGAAAATTCTCGCCAAGATACTGGCGCGTCGACTTGAGAAGGTAATGCCTACAAGTATATCCCCAGATCAGACGGGCTTTATAAAAGGCCGCTATTCTTTGTTTAACATCAGACGCCTGTGTAACATTCTCTACTGTCCATCTACAACTACCAATGAAACATGTGAGGTGATAATCTCGTTTGATGCTGAAAAGGCATTTGATAGAGTGGAATGGAACTACCTTTTCAAATCTTTGAAGTATTTTAAGTTCGGTCCCAAATTCTTATCCCGGATCAAAACGTTATATACTCTCCCTATGGCTGCTGTACGGACCAACAATAACCTCTCAAGTTATTTCCAACTACAACGCGGTACAAGACATGGGTGTCCTCTTTCTCCACTCCTATTTGCTATTGCAATGGAACCCCTGGCATTGGCCTTACGGCAGAACCCTAAAATTAAGGGGATTCTTTGTGGTGGACTAGAACACAAGGTCTCTCTATATGCAGATGACATGCTTCTATTTATATCAGATCCACAGCAAAGTATTCCTATGTTATTGTCTTTACTTTCTAAATTTGGAAAAATATCAGGCTACAAAATTAATGTTCAAAAGAGTGAGTTAATGCCTGTCTCATCTACGTTCAGGCAACAAGTTACATCTAACCCCTTTAAAGTCAATAAAAAAAAAAAAAGTATTTAGGTTTATGGGTCACGCGAAGCCACAAGGACATTTATCAGGCCAATTATCAACCACTACTCTCTAGTTTAAATAAGGATCTGGATAGATGGGGCACTCTTCCCATTTCTTTGGGTGGAAGAATCAATTCTATAAAGATGTGTATACTTCCTAAACTTTTGCATTTGTTCCAATGTATACCCATCTACCTGACAAAATCCTTTTTCACCAATTTAGATAGTCCGATATCCCAGTTTATATGGAATAAGAAACAACCACGTGTAAAGAAAGAATTTCTACATTTACCCCGAACAACTGGTGGTTTGTCCCTGACAAATTTCCTCTACTATTATTGGGCAGCAAATACAAGCCTCTACTTTACTGGTTAAGTAGAGACGATGTCAAACCCAGCTGGGCAGATGTGGAGGAGAGCTCAACGATACAAACATCTCTTGCAGCTCTATTGTGCTCCAGCCTACCATTTAAAAAACCAATCTCTTCGTATACACAGAATCCTGTTGTTATTCATTCAGTCAAAATTTGGAATCAATTTAAAAGAGTCTTTAATCTTACTGAGATGTGGCTGTCTGCTCCGTTAGCAAAAAACCACCTGTTCACACCTTCGGTTATGGACAGGGCATTTGACAGTTGGGTGAAATCTGGAATGTGGTCTTTAAATGATCTATATATAAATAATAGATTTGCCTCCTTTGAAGAGTTGTCTCAGAAGTTTAATATTCATAGATCCCAGTTATTTAGATACTTGCAAATTAGACAATTTGTTCATCTAACTCTGAATGTGTTCCTCTACACCCCTCCTCTTCCCTGTCAGATCTGATATTTAAATACAAGGCTGGTACAAAGCAGCTCATGGGTAAAATATATATAATGCTTAATGAAAATAAATTGACTAGTCTGGAGGATCTTAAGCAAAAAATGGGAAGGGGAATTGGGAGAGTCTATACTAGAGTCAACTTGGCTACAAGTTTTAAATAATATCTCCTCCTCATCAATGTCTCTTAGGCATTCTATTATACAGTTTAAAGTTGTCCATCGTCTTCACTGGTCAAAGGACAAACTCGCAAGATTCAAGACGGACCTGGATCCCACATGTGACCATTGTAAGACTTCTCCAGCCACTCAGTTGCACATGTTTTCGATGTGTCCAAAACTACATGATTTATGGAGTTCAATTTTTGAAACATTTTCCAAAATAACAGGACAAACGATTCACCCTTCGCCTCTCATTTCATTATTTGGCGTAAGTCCCCCTGATCTATCTCTGAATAAACTAGAATCTAATATGATTGCGTACTCCTCCTTGTTGGCCAGAAGACTTATTCTCATCAAGTGGAAGGACCCTCTACCTCCAACATTTGGCCACTGGATTAAAGACGTAATGAGCCACATTCACCTGGAAAAGATTAAGTTCACCACTAGAGGCTGCGCAGGAAAATTCTACGCTTCATGGCAACCATTTATTAATGTTGAGAATATGTCAGCCTGTGATTTTGACTCATGATTATATTATGCTGAATGTATTTAGCCCAATGACCCACTATCAAATATATGTATAGTTTTATATATATTCTAAACATGTTTTTTTTTTCTCTCGTGAATATCTGGTATTAAGGGGAGGGAGGGGAAAGGGTGTATTGATACGTGTTTGTTTGTTTGTTTGTTTTGTTTATTTAGCTGTTGAAAAATGATAATAAAAAAATACCTGGATCAAAAAGATGTGCGCCTCTTCCCTGAGGACACCAGCACGTTATTTATTACACCCTAACTGCACGTTAAAATCACTTTATAAACACATTTAGTGCAAAATAATAAATGTGCTACTTGTCATTAGCTCAGTGTGAGCGATGTGTCCCCCTGTGTGTCTTTACCCCCCCCCCCCCCACACACACACACACCTCCCCTGGACAAATGAAGTGACCTGAATTCAAATGAGATGAATATTAAAGACCTAAAATCAAACTTTATTTTCTCTTCTTACGGTTTTATTTTACAAAAGCAAAATGGAAAAGAAAGACAGGAAAATGGCTAAGACGTAAATATACAGATAATTATATACAAACAATTGGATATAATATTAGTCATTTATATGAAAAATTGATGCATAAATAAAAACATTTCATACAGAAGTTGTAAAGAGTAAAATAATTCAGAATAAAAACAAACTTTAGGCCACATAGAGTACATAATTGTAATTATTATTTAATATTTACTTGTTGTACTTGTTTTATGAGTATTTATTCACCTTTGTTTTTCCGCCCAATCGATATTTTTAGGTCTAAATGTTAGCCAACGTGTCCATTTAACAGCCCGAGCTGTTTCGCTGTAAGTCTTTCTTTAGCTTCAGTTTCCGTCTTACGGAGCTGCTCTCGTTGTTTTGCAGCTGAAGGACTTTTCAAACACTTTCAAAGCAGAAGCTGCAGCAGAACTGAAAACGTTTAGATTAAAAGTCAACAGAAATCTCTCCTCTGGTGTGCACGATGAAATAATTTAATCTGGATTCAAAATTTACAAATAAATTCCCAGAAAGCAAACACTTGGCTGCACTCATATAGGTTCATGCACATTTGCATAGTGGTGGTGAGTCACACTAATCTGCTGCACATTGTTTATTGTCTGAAATGTAACGTCAGTCCAGACCGTCCCTGCAGCATTTCTCTGCTGTAAACAAGAAAACCCTCACTGAGCCTAAACGGTGACCAAACCTTTTATCTGCTATTGATTTCCTATTCCTCAGGGCTACAGGGGTCATTGTCTTCAATTAAAACAAACCACACAGTAAATCGCACAAGATTTGACCTTTGACCTCCTGAGCTTTCGTGCCCCGATTGGTTTTAACCGTCAGTCGGCAGAAGATACTTAGAAACGGAATCATTTGATTTAAAAGTAAAAAGAATTGTAACGTTTCATAAAGAACCAGCTTTTATTGAATACAATAAGCAGCTCTTTGCATCGTACAACCGTATGCTTTTTAAAAAAAAAATATTAATTTTTTTACAGTATGTCCAAACAAAAACTGAAGGTTTTAATTTCATCCAAACGTTGTCGGTCACTCAGCAGATCAGACGTCAGCGCAGATTTGTTCTAACACTTACACTTGACGCAAACGAGCGTTAGTGTCTTTAAAACCTCCGCCTGTCAGAGTTTAGGCCTGAAGTGAAACTAACTGAGTCAAAGGCCTGGCTTCATGCATGGAACATATAAATTATGACATTTTGTCTAAAAGCCGTATACGTGTTCATTTTTTATTAATCTTCCTTTTCTCCAAGTATAAAACGTTGATCACTGAAAAGGTTTAGTAACGTCTGTGTTTCACTGCTCTGCCGTCATTATATTTTTCACACTGGCCTCGTTCTCGTCTCATGTGCACATGCTTACAGGTGGATTTGTGTCATCAAAACAAAGTTAGTCGATGTCAGCATGCAGGTCTGCAGAGTGCTGTGTTGAAGTGTCAGACGGGGTGCGGTCCCAGGCGCAGCACGGAGAAAGCCCTGCGGTGTTTGCGCAGCAGCAGTCGGATCTTATCGTCGTCAGAGTCCGGGTCCAGGGGCTTGTTGTACTCCTCGTCCTCCACCTCGTTCTCCGAGGCCTCCCCGCTCTGCCCCGCGTGGCTCGCCTGCGTGGAGCTCGGTTCCGAGGCGCTCTTCTTCCTCCATTTGGTGCGTCGGTTTTGAAACCACACCTGACACACACGGAGTGTTTACTGAGCATGTGTCGCTTAACGGGTGCACATTTAAAAACTTGGAAGTCACGCATGATGGTTTTTACATGTGTGGGTTGCCAGTGGTGTACTCTGTATTTTTGTAGTGGGTATACTGCGCTTAGAAATCAAAGTACACTGGTTAGTACAATGTAATCCTAAATTTATTTCGATTTTTAAGCATATTGAACATTTTTCAAATGTCTCTGTTGCAGTATCAAAGCACAGCGCTGCACACAGATAGATTGTTACAGAATCGTTTAACTGCTGTTTAACGCATCAATGACACGGGCCTAATGATGTGTCCTGTATCAATGGGCACTTTTAAGTGGGTATACTGAAATTCTTAAGCTTTTCTAGTGGATATACTCTGTATACCCATGTATACCACTGGTTGATACTGATCAGTAAGCACGTATGACTCATAACTTGCTTATATTGCTACACATGTAAACTGCTTTTCCTCTTAAATGCAGGATGCTGCAGGCAAAAACTACTTATAAACAGGAATAAAATGAAACAAACGACGAAGGACATCAATGAAAAGTGCATCAAATAAAGGAAAGTCAGGTCCTGTGGACAAATTCTTCCAGAGGACTTTACTTTAATTTGAAAGATTTGATTATTGAGCATGCATCAGGATAAATCAAGTGGACTTCACCTTAACCTGGGATTCGGTCATTCCCAGAGAATAAGCCAGTCTCGCCCTCTCTGGCCCGGCCAGATACTTGGTCTGCTCGAAGGTTTTCTCCAGAGCGAATATCTGGTGTCCGCTGAACGTTGGCCTGGTGTGTTTCTTCCTGCTGGACATCTCCCCAAAAGGACCGCTGCCTGAAAAGAAACGTTAGAAAACCTTTGGGACAAAAGTTTGACCAGGATTTGTTGGAATAAATTTCATAACATTTAGTTGTGTTTGTTCATTTTCTTTATGAAGTGGTAGAAATGTGATTTTAAAGTATAATTAAATGAGATATTGACGTGATAATAGAATTATGAGCATTATACTTAATGTTTGAATTTAAAATATACATTTCCCCCAACTTTAGTTTAGAAATGTGTTCAGTTTTAAAGAAAACATATTTTTTGACTAAATCTGAGGTGTTGCATCTAAAAATGTCTACTCTTTTTTTTTTTTGCTACTTTAAACACTCAGAGGATCTGCTCTCTCCATCTGGCCACCCTGCTGGTTTGGAGTCCTAACATCCCGCCTGGGGAAGAGGATGCTGCAGCATTTCCACTCACTGCTGGTGCACGGCTGCCTCCCCCCTCTCCACTCACAGCTGCTCTCTGCCCAGCAGCTCACACTGCGACCCTTCATCGGGCACTCTGCAGCCGTCTTGGAGAAGCCGCCCAGCGAGGCGTTGTAGTCCCGGTTGTAGTACATGGACGTGCCGGTCATGGAGGGGCCGAAACCTCCCATGGGGGAGTATCCGGACAGCAGGGTGGTGGTGCCCGTGGAACCGACCCCCACCATGGAGCGGCTCAGGATGTCGCTGATGCCGTGAGGCGTCCCTGGCTGCAGCTGGGCGTTGAGGCCCGGGTTGAGCTTGTAGAAAGAGTTGGGCACGGAGTACTGGCACACCGGCGCCTTCAGGTCTGAGGGGAACTGGTTCAGGCTGTTGTTGAAGAGGAAAGAGCCCTGGATGTTCGGATCCATGGGAAGTGATCTTTGTCCAGGGATCAGGAGCACATCCAGCCAAATCCAAGTTAGAAAATACGTGTGCAGGCCAAAGAGAAGGATTGGTGTCTAGATTTGGGCCCACACCGTCAGTCACTCGGTTGTTAAATAATTAGCCTTGAAGTCCACAAACTCTGTGAAAGTTACTGAAACGTGCACAGTTCTGCCTTTATCCACAGCTTGTTGTGAGAAAGCTCCATATTGGAAGTGTCTGTTAGTGATGCCCTGCAGACACACGCCTCCTGCAGGCTCTCCCCTCAGAGATCATAAATGAGCAGAATCTGGACATGGAGTGGCACCTTGATAAAGATGGTCCACATTAGAATGCAGCCCAGGATTGGTCCGGTTCTCACAGCTTTACTGCCTTCCTATTTGCTCCTCGGTTTGGGCCGGGCCTTCCATTGGACGGCTGCAGATTAATAGTGTTTTGAACAGGTGGAGTGGGAACGAGTGGATTCTCTGATGGCCTGCCATGTCTGACCAAATGTGCTGCTGCTGGAATAAACAAAGGAGAAGAGGAGGAAGAAAAAAAAGGGTTCTCTCACTTGGTTATTTTTTATCTGTTTGGTTGATAAAATATATTCAACATGCTCACATTTATATAAATATAACCATATAGATGTTTTTGTTTGTTTTGTAGGACCTGGAAACCTATCTGGAACTAGATGTCCAGTCTACAGCAGGCGTGTGTAATGCAGACTAAATACTCTTACTGTACTCTGGAAATTACCTGGTATGAAGTGAAAAAAATCATTCTGAGAGGCCTTCGTTTGCATTTCACATATCTCGTAATAAATGTTCTGTCAGCTCGTCTTATGTTTGTAGTTTTCTTTGTGTCTTCACGTTGTTTCTTTATTTCTTGAACAGTCTGGCATGGAAACAAAACTTTTGAGAAGATTTGGTTTCGTTTGGAGAGTAGACTGTAGCAGAGCATTGACTCCGATTATTATTTTTTAAAGCTTTATATCAGTTTGAGTCAACAAGATAAACAAAAAGAGCAAGATAAATAAAAAAAAAAGGTGAAAGAAATAATAAAAAAAAAAGGTTCAAGGTTCTTTATTTTCACTCACATCACATGTGGTACAAGAGGTGGAATGAAATTGTGTACTCAAGGTCTCAGGGACACCAAAAAATAGCAAAAATATAAAGTATAAAAAAATAAATATTATACAAGGATCTAAGATGTATACTAAACAATAATAACGACACAATATAATACGTTATATTAAACAGCAGCCTGAACATGAGTCTGTTGTGAGCAGATGTGTATAAATATAGCAGCCTAAAGATAAGATATCAGCAGCATGGATAAAATGTCAAATCTTCATTTAAAGTGTCATTACAGTGATTTTCCTGGTTAGGGACAGCCACAGGGTAGAAGCTGTTCCTCAGTCTAGTGGTTCTACACTTAATGCTCCTCAACCTCATTCCTGAGGGGAGCGGGGAAAAAAGTGTGTGTGCTGGGTGAGTGGGGTCCTTCATGATGCAGGTGACCCTCTTCCTGCATCTGGAGGTGTAGATGTCTGTGATGGTGGGGAGACTGACTCCAACATCTTCTGTGCAGCCTTCACCACTCTCTGCAAAGCTTTTCTTTCTGCAGCTGTGCAGCCTCCATGCCACACGTTGATGCTGGAGCACAGGATGCTCTCCACTGCACACCTGTAGAAGGAGGTGAGGAGGAAAAACAGAACTTGTACAGGTTACTTTGTTTAAAATAAAGATTTGGCTCTCCTTGAAGGAGGCTATATTGCCCACTGACCCTCATGTCAGAGATGTATTCCAAATATTTGTAAAATTAACTGAGATGTAGTTTTCAATGTCATTTAATGAATTTTATTTTAAAAAATTCTCTTATTTTCCACCAACGTGCAGCATTACTCATTTGTCTTCGTATGAGTTTTCTCATAACAAAGCAAAATTGACAAAAAGTACATTTCATTTCCCCATCTGTGTTAAAATATCAAATTCAGGGAGCAAAACCGAAATGAAAATCCAGTCAAGAGCTCTTGAGAATCAAAACTCCAGTTTCATTTTGACAGGGAATTCCACCGGATTTTCCGGTCCTTATCTTAAAGCAGCTTTAGATTGTGTTGCAACACTACAGAAAATTTACCTCATCCAAATTATATGGCTGCCTACACGTTTTGCTTTTCCTGTAAACCCTGTGGTGTTTGGGCTGAATGTTTCTGTATTCTTTTCCTCACTTTAAAGCTTGTTAACAAGTTACTTTTGAGTGTTTTTGTGGTTACTCAACACTTTCTGCGCTCTGTTGAGTCAATTATTTTAACAACCTTGTAGCTTAAAGTATAAAATGAGTTTTGTTTTTATGATTAATAATCTGGAAGCACTGAAATATTTAATTTCCTCCCACAGCTGTAACATGTTGCAACGTGTCCTCTGCCGACTGGTTTTTAGAAGTGTGTTAGGGGGTGTTGGGATCATCATATGAATGTTACTCATGCACTGCAGCAGCAAAGAAAGAAATACGTGTGAATTTCCAACAGAGATAAGATGACCTCAGCTAGGATTTCCTTTCAGCTCGGTCACATGATCCGGACTGAGCCAATGAGTCAGAGTCAGAGATTCTTTATTGTCATTCACACCTCATGTGGTACATGTGGTGGAACAAAATTATGTACACAAGGTCCCAGTTACATCCAACAATAACATGTAAAAGAAAAACAGTAATAAGATCTAAGATATGAACTAAGAAAAACATAAACTAAAAATACACTAAGCACTAATAGCATAAAAACATTACGTCGAACATCAGCACAAACATGAACATGAGTCTGTGTGAGCAGATGAGCATGCATGAACACAGCAACATGAAACAGATCAGCAGCAACATGAAACAGATCAGCAGCAACATGAAACAGATCAGCAGCAACAGGATGTGATTTTTTTTCACAGTGATTATTCTGATTAGAGATTCATGAGTCTGACAGCCTCAGGGTAGAAGCTGTTCCTCAGTCTAGTGGTTCTACACTTAATGCTCCTCAACCTCCTTCCTGAGGAGAGCGGGGCAAAAAGTGTGTGTGCTGGGTGAGTGGGGTCCTTCATGATGCAGGTGGCCCTCTTCCTGCATCTGGAGGTGTAGATGTCTGTGATGGTGGAGAGACTGACTCCAACATCTTCTGTGCAGCCTTCACCACTCTCTGCAAAGCTTTTCTTTCTGCTGCTGTGCAGCCTCCTTGTCACACGTTGATGCTGGAGCACAGGATGCTCTCCACTGCACACTTAGCAGGCATAAAAAAATGGCTGCAACTTTGGTATCTTTACAAATATTGAAATGGATTTTGGTGTGGAAGTGACATGGAGTTATCTCCAACACATACACGTGCATCTCCAAAAAGTTAGAAAATGGTGAAAAAATTATTATTATTTTTTTTTTGTCAGTCATTTCAGAAAGTGAAACTCATATTTTACATACCAGCATATTCATTACACACAGAGTTAAATATTTCAAGCCTTTATTTCTTATCATTTTGATGATTAAGGCTTACAAATAATGAAAAATGTCAATGAAATTCTTCATGTCATTTGTAAATCAAGGTCCCAAAGTCTGGAGGAAGAGTGGAGAGGTCCAGACTCCACGTAGCTTGAAGTCCAGAGTGAAGTTTCCACAGTCAGTGATGGTTTGAGTCTATGTCCTCTGCTGGTGTTGGTCCACTGGGTTTGTTGAAGTCCAGCACAGCATCTACCAGGACATTTTAGAGCATTTCATGCTTCCTTCTGCTGACGAGCTTTATGGAGATGCTGATTTCATTTTCCAGCAGGACTTGGCTCCTGCCCACACTGACAAAGGAACCAGAAGCTGGTTGTGGAATATTCTCACTTTCTGAGACACTGAATTTTGTTTTTTCATTATTTGTAAGTCATAATGCATGAAGCTGTTGCTGAACTGGAGAGCTCGTTCAGTGACAGATTCCTGCATCCTAAATGCACAAAGGAGCGTTACCGCAGGTCCTTCCTCCCAGCAGCTGTTAGACTCTACAACCATCACTGCTCCCAACAAACTCAATAAGGATTAAATACATGCTGACCTCTGCTAAAACACACACTCTGCCTGTAACACTGTACTGTAAATAGTCTGCCATTCTCAATGTGCCAGTACATATTGAACATTATTATTGATATTGTTTATCTTATTTCTTATATATTGTATTGTTTATTAACATTTTAGGAACTTTTGTGTGAAATCTTTTATCTTTTTATCTGTTGCTGCTGTTGCTGCTGCTACACTGGAATTTCCCATCCGTGGGACAATAAAGGCTGTTTCTATTCTAATCATCAAAATGACAAGAAACAAAGGCTTGAAATATTTCACACTGTGTAATGAATCTATATGAGTTTCACTTTCTGAAATGATTGACCAAAAAAAAAAAGATATTTTTTCATGAAATTCTAATTTTTTGTGATGTACCTGTACTGTGAGCACCACATGTGCTACATCTTTGCTTAAAACTTTGACATTACATATTAGAGTCAATATCTGTTAGCAAAATATCCTCCTGAACCTCTGGGCAGATTTCAGTGAAACTCTCAGAGTATAATCACTGGATGTTCATCTTCAACTCCTCAGCCACTGATTCAACATGGCTGCCACAGCTTATCCGTTTTATCAAGCACTGACATGGACAAAACTCAGTCTGTTTTACTGATACTGGGCTGAAATGTGTTGTGGTAGTAGTTTGGAATCATCCCCAACACATACTCCAAGCACTATGGATTGCACAAGGTTTTTATTCAAAACTTTAGCATGCAAATGGGCGTTATGTATTCCTTGAGACTGCAGTGGTTCCCAAAGCTGGGGTTGGGACCCCTGTGGGTCAAGGTCTTGTCATCTAACAAGGTTGAGTCAGGTCCTCTGGACGGATTCTTCTGTGTTGAAGAAGAATCCGTCCAGAGGACCTGACTCAACCTTGTTAGATTCATACCTGGATTATTGAGCATGCATCAAGAATTAAATACGTTCA